CAATTAATTTCTTTCTATTTATAGTAGAGACGGGGTCTCGCTCTTGCTCAGGCTGGTTTTGAACTCCTGACCTTGAGCAATCCGCCCGCCTCGGCCTCCCATAATTTTTTTTAATGGAACCATTATACTGTTTTCTACAGTTGCTACACCACTTTACATTCTTACCAGCATTGCATGAGGGTTACAACTTCTCCACACATCCTTGCCAAGGTTTATTTTCTATTTTTTGCAGTTATTGTTTTTATGATAGCCGTCCTAATGAGTGTGAAGTAGTATCTCATTGTACTTTTCACTTGTTTTTTAAGCAATATTTGTAGTTAGTACAAAAGTCCCAATAAATTTGGAAATTTGGATATTGTATTAATAATATCTGGTGCAAATTAGCTATAAATATATATGGATGCATATATTAATTTCTTCCTCTACTAGCCATAAAATGATGTGAGATGGCTTCTAAGAACAGGTAAACAATAAGATGAATAATATTCTATAAATAGCTTGATTCACGCACTGAGAATATAGAAGAAAACTAAAAAAAAAAAAAAAAAAATGAATCTATAGCCCAAAGTAGATGAACATGAAAGTGTATTGTAATGTCCCCTACAATTACTAAAATTGGGATGAAATAGTCAATTCTGAACTTCCTAGTGGCCAAAGAAAAAAGGGAAATAGGGTCACTACTAACATGGTTTGTTTATTTGAGATGGTGAAAGCACAGGAAAGTACAGGGCTTTTCTTGGCTGATTGATATAAGAAATAAACTATAATTATTTTGTTTGGTTTTTATTTTTGTTTTGAGGTGAAGGACATTTTATTAATTTGCCAGCCAATGAGGAGGTTGGCAGACTCCTGCCTCAAAGTAGCAACATCCTCCCTCAGAGCTGAATTACAGAGCTTTTAAAGGTTCTGATTAATCCCATAATCCATCTTTGGCTAAAACAATCTCGTGACCTCCACCCGGGCAATTTCCTTGAGCCATCTCCTGTGGCACAAAGAACAAAGGACACTCTAGGCCAGGCGTGGTGGCTCAGGCCTGTAATACTAGCACTCTGGGAGGCCGAGGCGGGTAGATTGCTCAAGATCAGGAGTTCGAAACCAGCCTGAGCAAGAGCGAGACCCCGTCTCTACTATAAATAGAAAGAAATTAATTGGCCAACTAATTTATATAGAAAAAATTAGCCGGGCATGGTGGCACATGGCTGTAGTCCCAGCTACTTGGGAGGCTGAGGCAGGAGGATCGCTTGAGCCCAGGAGTTTGAGGTTGCTGTGAGCTAGGCTGACGCCACTCACTCTAGCCTGGGCAACAAAGCGAGACTCTGTCTCAAAAAAAAGAAAACAAAAGGACACTCTCCTTCTCCTCTGACCACTGGCCTGAGGCAGGGATGTAGTTTTAGTTCTCAGAAAGGGTGAGGGGATTTTAAAGAGACATAAAACATTTTACCCTTTTTTCAGGCCATTTTCTCTGTTACATATTCCCCACTGTCAGTTTTATCTCCCATATCTACAGGAGGAGGGTTGACGTAGTCATCGAGCTACTTCCTGTTGAATTGGGATGATGTTTTAGATGGAAGGTGCAGACTATCAGGTGAAAAAGGGCATAGGCAGCAACTACAGCGGTGGGGACTGGCAAGGTGAAATGGACTGTCACCTTGCACACAATGTCCAATACACAGCTAGCTTAGAAAAGAAACGTGGGGCCTCTGAGTGCAGAGCTAATGAATTGTACCCTGTCGGGGACCTGAGAGACCGGCTTCTGCAGATTCAGAAATCACATACAGAAACACTGGTGCCAAACAAGGTTCAGGATAGCACACCAGCAACAAGACAGATGAGATAGCAGAAGAGGCGACAGCCCGGGAAACCCTCACTGAGGGCTGTCCACCATATCTTTGGTATGGCGATGGACCCAAGGTTTCACTTCTGACAATTTTAACAAGGTGTGAGTTGTTAGAGGCACTTCAGAGTCTTATTCTGAAGTCTTAAAGAGACAATTATGTTACTGGCATCAGCAGATTTCAGACTGAAAGCAAACAGAATTTTTGATTAAATTATTGGCATTGGAAACAGACTGACCATTAGACTGTTTTTGTGTAAAACAGTAGCTTCAAAGTACAATTAGGAAAATAAAAAGTCAACTCCACCTGTCTCAGCAGAGCCATAAGTTCTTAAAATCTTAGGTTGGCCTCATTTTACATAGGTACCTGACATTTCCTTCCCGGGTTACAGATTATAAATGTATGTGTGTTTTGTACAAATAGTCTTCTTAAAAATACATCCTTATCTTCCATTTGTAAGGCGGGAAAGATCTTCATGTTCAAATCTGATATTGAAGTTTCTTTTACAACTTGAAAATACAGGAACTAGTGTCTCATTTTAAGTTTATACTAGAAATAAACTTTATGATAACTGGAGATGTTGTCAAACTAGTTTCCAAGTACTTGAATAGCAAAGAAAACAAAAAATAAGAATAGAAGCCACATCCATCAGAAATTTTTATAAGAATGGAAAAGAATTGGTCTTATGGAAAGAATTGGTTGGAAGTTTTGCTCAAAGATTTGGTTGAAAGATATTAACTGACATTTCTTGAGCATTTACAATGTTACAGGCACAGTTCAAAGTGCTTTGTGTGTTAATACTTATTCCTCTAAATTTAATGAGGTTAATACTATGATCATCATTCCCATTTTACAGGCAGGGAAACTGAGGCACAGAGCAGCCTATCATCTCTCCTCCAGATCACACACCTAGGAACTGTCAGAGCTGGGACACACAGCCACGTGGTTGGCTCCAAAGGCCACATGCTGGCCCCAAACTGAACTGCACCTCTTCATGTCACAGCAAAAACAAGACTGTCTTGGCCATCTGGCAAATAAATACCTCAGATTTGTTTTATATCGTTATAGTTGTTGTTGTTTTTTTTCTTTAGGTGATCAAACTCACCTTAATTCTCCTTGAAAATTCCCTTAATAGTCTTGTATTCAATTCCTGGTACTAAAATTTTAAAAATGAATAATGCTCCTGGTTCTAATTAACTGATGAACCCTTATGCAGCCATTTAAAAAATGATGTTTTTACAAAGAGTTTTAAGAACATGGAAGAATACTTACAAAATAAAGTAGCAGGAGGTATATTTGTAAAAAGCCAAGCTCCACCCCCTCCCCCTCCAAAAAAAATGGCTTTCATAACAGAATTAAGGATGATTTCTTGTTTATTTTTCTTAATTTTTCTATATAATTTAATACTTTATAGTCCAAAAAATGAAGTAGACTTCATTTTTTAAAAGGCCAATCAGAGCCTTTCATTACAAAAGCGTAGCCTGCAGCATTTGGCGATGGTCTCAGTGTATCGTTTAGGATCATTTCCACAGAGCCCGTGCTGTATGAGTGAGATGGCACAGTTCAGACCTTCACTGCTAAGTGTGGCTATTTAATTTTAAACTAATTAAAATTAAATAAAATTTAAAATTCAGTTCTGCACTCACATTAGCCCCATTTCAAGTGCTCAGTAGCCACCTGTGGCCAGGTGGCAGCTTTTCCAGCATTGCAGAAAATTCTATTGCACAGCACTGGTTTAGAAGAAAGAACACAGAATCTGGAGCCAGAAGACTTGGAACCAAGTCCTCTCACAAAATGACACTTGCCTGAAATGGGGCCATTTTCTCAAGCTCTCTAAGCCTATTTCGACATGGGCAAATTGGGACTGATGATCATACACCATTTACCACATATGTAAGTTAAGAAGATTAAGAATGCAAGTGACAGTTCTCTGAAAACTACGTGTAGTTTACCACGTAGATAGATGTAGCTTCCCAAGTCTCTCAGTCTGAAGTCAATCTAGCTCTTCGTAGACTGATTCCAAAACCATGAATGCTTCTTCATACCAAAAATTTTGCCTGAACGACACCGTAAAAATCAGATTTTCTATAGTTCTCAGACCAAGTCTGTGGCAGTGTGACATTCCATTTCTTCCTTGTAAAAAGCTTCAGTACACAGCTCTGTATTTATCTTATATAACACCTCCTTGGGGGGGGTGCAGTGGCTCAGGCCTGTAATCCTAGCACTCTGGGAGGCGAAGTCCAGCGGATTCCTCAAGGTCAGAAGTTCGAAACCAGCTTCAGCGAGATCCGTCTCTACTAAAAATAGAAAGAAATTAATCGACCAACTAAAAATATATAGAAAAAATTAGCCGGGCATGGTGGTGCATGCTTGTAGTCCCAGCTACTCCGGAGGCTGAGGCAGTAGGATTGCTTGAGCCCAGGAGTTTGAGGTTGCTGTGAGCTAGGCTGACACCACGGCACTCTAGCCCTGGCAACAGAGTGAGACTCTGTCTAAAAAAAAAAAAAAAAAAACCTCCTTTAATAATTTAAAGTCTTCCTTATAAACACATTGCTGTAGTTCCATTTCTATACTGAAAAAGACTGCCTTAAAATAAATAGAATAGAAAAAGGCTGGCCGGGCGCGGTGGCTCACGCCTGTAATCCTAGCATTCTGGGAGGCCGAGGGGGGGGGATTGCTGGAGGTCAGGAGTTCGAAACCAGCCTGAGCGAGACCCCGTCTCTACTATAAATAGAAAGAAATTAATTGGCCAACTAATACATATAGAAAAAATTAGCCGGGCATGGTGGCATGCCTGTAGTCCCAGCTACTTGGGAGGCTGAGGCAGGAGGATCGCTTGAGCCCAGGAGTTTGAGGTTGCTGTGAGCTAGGCTGACGCCACGGCACTCACTCTAGCCTGGGCGACAAAGCGAGACTCTGTCTCAAAAAAGAAAAAAAAGAAAAAGGCTGTGTTCAAAGAAATCAATGAGGCCTGTAAAATGCTATGTAACCAAGGGACATCAACCTCAGTTGACAGTGCAGGCGTTAAGCAAAGGATCTTGCCATTTGCTGCAAGAGCATGGGCTTTCACCAACGAGGACAGCAGGTTCTCCGGGACTTCAATGCTGTTGGGGCACCCATGAAGCGGAAATACTTGCTCATTCTGGTTTTGTTTTTTTCCCACAGTCACTTCTGGTTTTCGCTGCAAGACAACGTGACTCCTGGATTAGTTTAGGTCTGCCGCATCTCCAGGACGCGCCATCCCGTCCCAGCTAGCCGGCCGGTGCGGAGCGCCCGCGGGGCGAGAACAGGGCGTCGCCTGCGCAGCTGCCGCCCGCGCCTGCCGGTCCCGGAGCCGCGCGCCATGACCGCAGAGGACTCCGGCGCAGCCCCGAGCGGCGACGCGGCGGCCGCGCGCCCCCCGGCGCCCGAGGGCGTGGCGGGCGCGCCCAACGAGGCGGCGCTGCGGGCGCTGATGGCGCGCACGGGCTACAGCCTGGCGCAGGAGAACGGGCAGCGCAAGTACGGCGGCCCGCCGCCCGGCTGGGAGGGCCCGCGGCCGCAGCGCGGCTGCGAGGTCTTCGTGGGCAAGATCCCGCGCGACGTGTACGAGGACGAGCTGGTGCCCGTGTTCGAGGCGGTGGGCCGCATCTACGAGCTGCGCCTCATGATGGACTTCGACGGCAAGAACCGCGGCTACGCCTTCGTCACCTACTGCCACAAGCTGGAGGCCAAGCGCGCCGTGCGCGAGCTCAACAACCACGAGATCCGCCCGGGCCGCCTGCTCGGCGTGTGCTGCAGCGTGGACAACTGCCGCCTCTTCATCGGCGGCATCCCCAAGACGAAGAAGCGCGAGGAGATCCTGGAGGAGGTGGCCAAGGTCACGGAGGGCGTGCTCGACGTGATCGTGTACGCCAGCGCGGCCGACAAGATGAAGAACCGCGGCTTCGCCTTCGTGGAGTACGAGAGCCACCGCGCCGCCGCCATGGCGCGCCGCAAGCTCATGCCCGGCCGCATCCAGCTGTGGGGCCACCAGATCGCCGTGGACTGGGCCGAGCCCGAGATCGACGTGGACGAGGACGTGATGGAGACCGTGAAGATCCTCTACGTGCGCAACCTCATGATCGAGACCAGCGAGGACACCATCCGCAAGAGCTTCGGCCAGTTCAACCCGGGCTGCGTGGAGCGCGTCAAGAAGATCCGCGACTACGCCTTCGTGCACTTCGCCAGCCGCGAGGACGCCGTGCGCGCCATGCGCAGCCTCAACGGCACGGAGCTGGAGGGCTCGTGCCTGGAGGTCACGCTGGCCAAGCCGGTGGACAAGGAGCAGTACTCGCGCTACCAGAAGGCGGCCAAGGGCGGCGGCGCGGCCGAGGCGGCGCCCGGCTACGTGTACTCCTGCGACCCGTACGCGCTGGCCTACTACGGCTACCCCTACAGCGCGCTGGTCGGGCCCAACCGCGACTACTTCGTGCGAGGTGAGTGGCCCGCCGGCTCGCGCGCTGGCGCGGCCGTTACCCCGCAGCACTGCGGGGACAGGCGGTCCTGGCGAACGGCAAACCACGGCTGTGCAAGCTCCTGCTTTCTGCCTTGCCGGGGCTGCCAGATTCGGGGCTGGTCGGCCAGTCTCTTGGCGCTTAGCTTAAAACCTGCTTGTGATATTAAGTCTTAAAGTGGGGGCGATGTGTTTTGGTTTTGTTTTTTATAATCGCTGATTAGGGTGTAATGAGACGAAGCATTACACAGGAAAATAAGATGCCTAGGTCTGGGTCCTGCTCTTTGGTTAACTGGGTTTGTGGCTTTAGTCAGTCACTTTAACATCCCTTGGCCTGTTTTCTCAAGCACAAAACGTGGAAGGTAGCCTAGCAGATCCCCTTCCAGATCTAACTTTATTACAGTCTATGAATGTCTTTGCTGAAATTGCAAATATAGTCTTAGGAGCTGACCTGGTGATTTTGCACCAAGGAACTCTTGCACTATGCAGATACACCATGTTTCCACCAAAATAAGACCTCCCTATAAAATAAGCCCTAGCAGGATTTCTAAGCACTGGAGCAATAGAAGCCCTACCCGGAAATAAGGCCTAGTGACGGGCGTGGCTACGCAGCGTGTCTGCACAGCCCCTGCATTCCGAGGCGGAGCGGTAAAGAAGACGAGCAGCCCTTCTCATCTGCCCCGTGAGAGCTCTGTTGCTCCACATGAGAGATTGGGGCCAATGGTTCTAAAGGAAATAGAGTAGCAAGAAATTCAGGATGGAATTTGGGGTTTGGAGAGTGATGATGATGTTCCAGAAGAAGACGACTTAACTATATTTGAATAAATGTAGATGGTTGTACCGTGCTTAAAAAGAAACAACACATCCCCTGAAAGAGAAGCTCTAGGTTGTCTTCTTGAGGAAAAGTAAATATAAGACCCTGTCTTATTTTCAGGGAAACATGGTAATTAGGATGCAAATCTAGGCTGAAATAGGATGTTGGAAATGTATTTACAAGCCCATTAAAGATGGAGCCACCTGCAACTTAGACCTGGGGCAAACAACCCCATGCCAAGAGCCACAAGCCAAGGTCTGCCTGCTGTGCTGTCGCTGTTGGGTGCTCACCGGTTTTGTGTTGTTGTTTATTATAAGCAGGCAGCATAAGAGGCCGAGGGCGAGGTGCGGCTGGCAACAGAGCCCCAGGGCCCAGGGGCTCCTACCTTGGGGGATATTCTGCTGGCCGCGGTATATATAGCCGATATCATGAAGGAAAAGGAAAGCAGCAAGAAAAAGGATATGAACTTGTGCCGAATTTGGAAATCTCTACCGTCAATCCAGTTGCCATTAAACCTGGTACAGGTCAGTATAAACCAGATGGAGAAAGCATTCCTTCAGCCTAAACTCTGGCCCTCTTTTTGAAGTCAGTCCAAGCCTTTCTCGGGCTCTCAAGTCTGCACATGGCCCTCTCTTCTCATAGATAGCCAGAGACTAGGCAGAAACAAACCTGAAACTTAAGGGAACGGTCTAGCTCTCACCATGCTCGCATCAGAGTTTCTGGGCAGTAAGTTTTTCAAATGGATGTCACCAGTTGTTAGGCTTTTTCTGCATCTACAGTAGGCAAAGTTGTAGCAGGGGTTGGGGTCAAGGGGAAGAATGGAGCAATATGAGGCTCTCTGTGTCTTTTAGCTAAAACCTGTCTTTTCCTTACTCAGGCATGTTTCTATCTCCAACCTTCAGAAGTCAGGGGGCCCAGCTATTGCCATTTTGAGAGTTATTAGGAAGGGTAGAAAATTCCCCTTCAGGAGCAAGCAGCACCATTTGTCCATGATCTGAGCGAGAAGAGTGCCTGGGGACAAGGTAGCGGTGCATGTTTTTGCAGCTGTTAATTCCCTGTATTCTGATTTCCAGCACTCATTTCCTCTTCTACCGGGGTCAGTGATTGGGAGTAGGGATGCTCGAGTATTTCAGGCTAGGGGCTAGGGAACTTGAACTTCACTTTCACCCAGGCCCCACAAACCGGTTTGCCAATGTTCTTAGTGCCCATGGTCACCTAATGTGAGGCAGGTCTTCGGATTCAAACCTGCAAAGTGCATGAACTCTGTTGTGAGTCTAGCACAAACTCGATAATCACACGTACCACACATGCAACCAAACATATGGAAAGTTCAGTCCGTAGATAATTGGAATGATCCTCCTCTAGACCTCTTCCCGGCTTCACGGAGGGTACATTGAAGAGCTGTTTAAAGCTCAGCTACTCTGGTTTTCTTCTGGTTGAGACTGTACTTCTTCCCTAGCTAGAGTCAAGGAGCCTATGCATTTGGGACACAGGTTCACATTGGCCTCCTAGGGCTAAAGAGCATTTTCCCAGCAGAGCCCTCTTTTGAAGAATCCAGTGAAGATTTTTTTTGCCTGGATAAAAATTATGCAATCTTTGTAGTTAAATGACTCCTTAGACTGTATTTTCTTATAAATACCATTGGCAGCTGGGCATGCTGGCTCATGCCTGTAGTCCCAGCACTTTAGGAGGCCAAGGCAGGAGGATTGCTTGAGGCCAGGAGTCTGAGATATACTTTTTAAAAAATAGAGAATTTCCTAATTTCTTAATGGGCAACATTGTGAGACCCCATCTCTATAAAAATTTTTTAAAAAAATTATCTGGGTGTGGTGGTCCACACCTGTAGTCCTAGCTACTTGGGAGGCTGAGGAGGGAGGATCTCTTGAGCTCAGGAAACCAAGGGTGTGCAGTGAGCTGTGATCGCGCCTCTGAGCTCCAGCCTGGGCAACATGGCAAGACCTTGTCTCTAAAAAGATAAATAAAACAAACGCCTACGGGACTGTGAGCAGTGCAAAATGGATCCTATAGCTCTGTAACTCCATAAAACAGAACCTAGATATAGGAACTGTTGCTTCTACTTGTTGGGAAAGGGACTCCTGTTGGCAAGTTGCAATAGCCTAAGGTTTAACAAGAGAAAATCTGTTAAACAATCTTTAGCCATTTAAAAATGCATTCTGGGGCCTGAGGGCCAGAAGTGCTCAGAGTCAGTACACCCCATGTGACTCCAACTCACAGCCCTCTCTGGGCCCCATCCCTTTGATTCTGGTTCTGATCATCCAGAAAATTAAAATTTTATATATTGGGAGAGACACCAGGGTAGTAGTGCAATATCTACGCACAAGACCAATAGAAGATACAATTGGAAAGGCAGATAAAAAAGATTTGGCTAAGATTTTAGATATATTTTAATGAGTGGTTGTACCATTGTTTAGCTTACAGCTATTTATCTCTTTACATTCTTTTTTTTTTTTTTAAACAGAGTCTCACTCTGTTGCCTGGGCTAGAGTGCCGTGGCGTCAGCCTAGCTCACAGCAACCTCAAACTCCTGGGCTCAAACAATCCTTCTGCCTTAGCCTCCTAAGTAGCTGGGACTATAGGCATGTATCACCATGCCCGGCTAATTTTTTCTATATATATTAGTTAGCCAATTTCTTTCTATTTATAGTAGAGACAGGGTCTCGCTCTTGCTCAGGCTGGTTTCGAACTCCTGACCTTGAGCCATGCTCCCTCCTCGGCCTCCCAGAGTGCTAGGATTACAGGCGTGAGCCACTGCACCCATCCCAAGTCAGTCTTTAATAGAATAAATGTACCTATAGTTGTAGAAAAAACATAAATGAAAGCATTCTTTGTGTATACATTTCATATTTTTTGCTTATCCTTTCAACACATACAACAAGCACATACACAAACCCCCCTAAACCAGGGCCTTTTGATCTCCTTATCAGACATTGAGATTTAATGCTATGTTTTTGAATCTCTGGTTGCATCAGCCCTTTGGACATCAGTCACAGAAATTCTTTGAATTGGCAGGTCCCACAAAAAAAAAAAAATAAGTCACTCTACCGCTTCACTACTATGAGCGGACATTAAGAAATCAGGGAATTCTCTATTTCTTTAAATTATGTATTTTTCCTTTCATTGGTAATGTCGAATTCTGAAATACAGGAAGAGGAGGATATACACAGGTCTCTGAGTTCTCAGAATGAAACCCTCAACAGCACCTGCTTCTTAAAAAATGGTGAAAGCGAAAAAGGCAGTCTGGTGCTGAGTGAGGTGAGCGAGAAGGAATGGGCAGGCTTACCTTCACGCGTGTTGCGCCTTGAGCCGCCGATGTCGCGTATTCTGAGTCCGTTTTCTCAGAGGTAGAAGGCCCTTTCTTGCTTAGTAGGATATCAAGAATAAGTTTCAAAATGAGCTTTTTCTGCAGAAGCAGTGAAAAATGCTGGTGCAGAAGCCTAACTCTAGGCTTCCCTTCTGTGCAGATCTCCTGGGAGCCTCCACGCCTGTGGTTCCCTTGGGAGACGTGCAGGGAATTGCCGGCCGCCTCCCATCTCCTCCTTCTGGGCAGCAAGCACCTGCTTACATGGCTTGTACGGAAAGACCATTAATTAGCTCGGGGAGGCCCATGACCAATAAACTTGGTTTTAAACATGCATTGAGTGTTTGGTGGACTGTTCTTGGTGACTGAAAGTGATTGACCTGTTTTTCCCTCTTTGTTTCTCTTACAGTAGCCATTCCCGCCATTGGGGCCCAGTATTCCATGTTTCCGGCAGCCCCAGCCCCTAAAATGATTGAAGACGGCAAAATCCACGCAATGGAGCACATGATAAGCCCTATTGCTGTGCAGCCAGACCCAGCCAGTGCCGCCGCTGCCATTATTCCTGCTGTGTCCACGCCACCCCCCTTCCAGGTTGGGTTCTTCCTGCAGTCATTGTAATTTGTGTGTGAAGCCTCTTTTTATCATGGGTGCATTTAGCATTCAGCACTGAGAATTTACCATGTGCCTACCTCTCTGGTAGAGCCATGGGTTTGGGTGACATAGAGCATTTTTAATGTGAATCACGACAGAAAAAAATTTTAAATAATCATTGGACTGCCCTAATATTATCATTGTATTAAGGATGGGAAGCTGTATGAAAAATGACATGTGCGTGGCCGGGCGCGGTGGCTCACGCCTGTAATCCTAGCACTCTGGGAGGCCAAGGCGGGCAGATTGCTCAAGGTCAGGAGTTCAAAACCAGCCTGAGCGAGACCCCGTCTCTACTATAAAAATAGAAAGAAATTAATTGGCCAACTAATATATATATATATAATATAAAAAAATCAGCCGGGCATGGTGGCTTGCACCTGTAGTCCCAGCTACTCGGGAGGCTGAGGCAGGAGGATCGCTTGAGCCCAGGAGTTTGAGGTTGCTGTGAGCTAGGCTGACGCCACGGCACTCACTCTAGCCTGGGCAACAAAGCGAGACTCTGTCTCCAAAAAAAAATGACATGTGCGATTTTTCACAGTGTCATAATATTACACAGACCATTTTTTTAAATGGCACTGGAGAATTTCGAGCTCATGTTGTTAAAGAGTGACATTAGAAATCCAGGAAGCTCTTTCACATTTTTATATTCCAAATTGCAGCTTGAGAAAGATTTTAAAAATATGTTTATACCCATATATGTGAGTGTGTGTTTATATATTTATGTGTGTTTGGAGGGGAGAGAGAATATATATACATACATTAAATGAAATTGTACAAAATCTGCTTGTAATCCTCTCCTCCAACCATATCTCCCACTGTTCCCCTATCTCTTCCCAAACTAATCTCACCATTTTGGACTCTTCCCCCACCTTTGTTCACAGTGTTCTCTTTCTTTTTTTGAGACAGAGTCTCACTCTGTTGCCTGGGCTAGAGTGAGTGCCATGGTGTCAGCCTAGCTCACAGCAACCTCAAACTCCTGGGCTCAGGCAATCCTCTTGCCTCAGCCCCCCAAGTAGCTGGGACTACAGGCATGCACCACCATGCCCGGCTAATTTTTTATATGTATTTATAGTTGTCCAGCAAATTTCTTTCTATTTTTTGTAGAGACGGGGTCTCACTCTTGCTTAGGCTGGTCTTGAACTCCTGACCTTGAGCAATCGGCCTCTGCCTCCCAGAGTGCTAGGATTATAGGCATGAGCCACCATACCCACATTGTTCTCTTAACTATGGTTTCTTTAGTCTCACCTCTTCACAGAATCTTTCCCCACCTACCAGGCCTAGAGAATCTCTCCTATACTTCTCATTACTACATTATTACTTATTAGCTTTTGGCTGCCAACTGTTCTGTCTTCCCAGTTAAAATGAAGCTCCTCCAGCCCTCAGGCTCTTAGGTTTCTTTCTATCTTTAGTGCATAGCACACAGAGAGTATGTCTGTTTAACAGAAAACACAATCTTGTTTTAAAGCTATTCTCTGTGAGGCAGTGAATCATGAACACCAATCACAGACATCATAATCAGGCCCAGGGGCTCTCATCCAATTGAGTGAGAATTATCCAGGGCATGTGTTTAAAAAACAGAGATTTTGGGGCTCAAATCCCTGAAGGTTCCAATTCAGTTGACCTGGGCTGAGGTTCTAGAATTGATATTTTGTACGAGTTCCTCAGTGATCTGGAGACAGAGCCAGGCTTGTGAACCTCCACAACAGGATCCTGCTGATTTGCCTTTGCCTACTCTGAACATCAGTGTTGACTGCATTATTCACAGAGGGTCAGGCTGGTTGAAGTTTATTCATCCATCAGTATGTCATCAAGTGTTCTTTACTGGACCTCCAAAAGACAAAGTAAGGACTCGGTTATAGATGACTCACTGTAGAGTGACAGGTAGGTGTGGTTACTGCTTGTGGACTGACTATAAATATCTGTGGTAATTTGCAAGCAATACCTAGTGGTATCCGACAGTAATTTCTGATTCTTCTTTACTGACAGACTCATGAACACTCGCTAAGTGGTGTCAGTTCTGGTCAGGTCCAAATTCCAGGACCCATGATCATGTTCTGGGCCCCAGACTATTCCTGTCTCATATCAGTCTGCACTAGAAGTTGCCATCAGGTCCTCATTCATAGTCTTAGCTTATGAATTTGCTCAAAGTACAATCCATTGATTCCCATGGAGATTTTTTCCTCCTCTAGCAAATTCTGCAGAATACCTAGAGCTCTTACTTTTTAACCCAAGAATGGCTTCTTTGGTTGTGTGGGGCCTTGGTGCTCTCTCTGGAATCCAAGTACCCTGTGTCCTCAGCTAAGGTCTTTAACCCGGGTTCTCTGACATGTTTTGCCTTCCACCTCTTTTGAATTATCTTCCAAATTGCAGCAGAGGAAGGAGGATTTTAAGCACTAGTGACTGACAAAAAACACCTTCCTGAGCGTGATTGCACTGGAAACTGATCTTCCAGTGTGGCTTTCGGACCCTACCAATGGGGTCCCGTTGGTCATCCTCTCCTGCCTGGCAGGTGCTCCGGGATATTCCTGTTTATATAGAAAATTTCACATAGCCTTTCCAAGCAATAAAAAAATATTTGCTGGCATAGACTTAATTACATCTTCAAATTAATCTCTCATACTTTTCTCAATGTTCACAACACATCTGTGGTGTAGGTAGAGCAAGGGTAACCATTCCTTTTTGACAGCAGGGAATCATCACCTGAATTGGGAGTTAAAGATGTCAAGTGCATAAATGTTTTCTCCACTACCCCTATTGCATTTCCTTTAGCCCTTTTCTTTGATGAAGCTGTGTTAATGCACTTGTACATTGGTACATATCCATGGGGGGTACATTCCAAGACCCCCAGTGGATGCCTGAAACCACAGATGATACCAAACCCTAAATGTGCATGAATTTCTTTTTCCTTCTTCACAATTTCAGGGATAAATTTCCTCCTTACGGTAGATTTTACCAACCTAAGCATACTTTTTTTTTCTACTAAGTCAAGAAGTTTTACCTTTTCACTTAAAGGAAGCACTTTATGGCTTCTCTTTGACACATCCAAATTCCTAACATCATTACTCTTGTGCTTTGGAGCACAATATTAAGTAAAATATTAATATTAAGTAAAATAAGGGTGACTGGAACGCAAGCACTGCAGTACTGTGACAGTCGATCTGGTAACGGAGGCGGCTGCCAAGTGACTTGCAGGCGGGCACAGACAGCGTGGGGGTGCCGGGCAAAGGGCGATTCACTGCCAGGGCCGGGGAAGGACGAGATTTCATTGTGTTACTCAGATTGGCATAATATTTAAAACTTGTGAATTGTTTGTTTTTGGAATTTTCCATTAATATTTTCAGGTCATAATTGACCGCAGGTAACAGAAACTTCAGAGAGCAAAACCGTGAGTACAGGGAGGACTCACCGTGCCACGTTTGGCTCTTTACAGAAGTGCCTTCCCGGCAGGTAGGGCTCGGGGAGGTGATAGAACTGCCTTAGAGCCACACGGCTGCTCAGGGGCAGAATCGGGACTGGAAGATCAGATGCCTGATCTATGCTCTGTCCTTATATCGCAGTGGATGCCACCCTAAAAGGGACATCACAGGGACTGGAAAGAGAAGCCATGAGTTTAGTGATTCCAGGCTAAGAGCTGGGGCACATTGTGTGCGTGACCTGGTGTCGGGGTGTGCAGCCTGGACGCAGGTGTTGTTCTGCACACATGGAAAAGTTTCTCTCGGGTGTCACCTTCCCTGTGATTTCCTCCCTTTGGTCATTTGTTATTAAATCGATGGCCACACATGTGGAAAAGATGGCTTGTGACTTTCTGTGAGCCACAGTCTTGCCAGTTCCAAGCTCCTCTCCCAGGTCATAAAAGGTCACTAATGAAATATGCATTGGTTCAGTTGGTAACTCAGAGGAGAAAAGAAAATGAAATATACGTTGGATGGTGTTGTAGGAGGCAGGACAGTGCAGGGCTAAAAGTGCGAGCTCCAGAGTCGCACACTCCACTGCTTAAAAGCTGTGTCGCTTTGTGTGAGTCATTCAGCACATCCACACTTCTCCATATAATCATGGCACCAACTTCACTGATGGCTGTGATGATTCAACATTCTCATACAAATAAGGCACTTACTGTCTGGCAGACAGTAGTGTCTCAGTCGTTATCAGTTCTGATTGTCATTGGTATAATTATTTCAATTATAGTTATTCTCAATTCCCTTCCCAGCTCGCTCTGAGGCATAGACTGATCAAGTGGAATGGAAGGTGGGAGATTCAGAGTAGAGCTCAGAGAAGGCCCTTCTTATCCACAGCTTCTGCCTCTGTGGATTCAACAATTGTGGCTTGAAAATATTTGAAAAGATAAAAACAATGAAAGTAACAATGCAACAATAAAAAATAATACAAATGAAAACACCCTATGACCTTTATATATATAGCATTTACATTGTATTTGATATTATAAGTAATCTAAAGATGATTTAAAGTATGCATGGGTTATGTGCATAGGTTATGTGCAAATACTGTCTTTCTCGTCAGGGTTTGAGCATCCGAGGATACTGGCACCCACGGGGTGCTGGAGCCAGTCCCCTGCAGGTGCCGTGGCGCGCTCCATCCCAGCATTCCCTTCGCTTCCTGGTTCTCTCACTTTCACCAAGGCCATGCTCACTGAATTTGAGGATGCAGCTCCACCTTACCTCTTTCGTGTCTCTTATACTGTGAAACCTCACTCCTTAGCTGCTTGTTATTTGTGTGCACCTCTGCCTTCCCGTCCTGAGAAAGGAAACCTTGGCTTTTGCATCTTTGCGCCCCCATTCCCTGGGAGATGCTGGTTGAGTGAATGGACGACAGGTACATGCGTGTGTTTAGGAAGGATTCTTTTTGTGTTCCCTCCTCAGGGCCGCCCAATAACTCCAGTCTACACGGTGGCTCCCAACGTTCAGAGAATTCCGGCTGCTGGGATCTACGGGGCCAGTTACGTTCCGTTTGCCACTCCAGCCACAGCCACGATCGCCACGCTACAGAAGAACGCCGCCGCCGCCGCCGCCGTGTACGGGGGGTACGCGGGCTACATACCTCAGGCCTTCCCCGCTGCTGCTATTCAGGTCCCCATCCCCGACGTCTACCAGACGTACTGAGGGTGGTGACAAGAGCGAAGACCAGCCCCGGAAACACCACTGAAGGAATGCTTTACTATTTATGAAGAAAGAACATGTTGGATTAGCACATGTATGCAACCTGAAAGTGAAGAATGCTATGAAATCTCATACTGAAATATTTTATATACATGAAGTTTTCACTAGTTTTTAAAGACTCTTTTCAATTTAGCAGGCCTGTGTTCACACATTTCTAAGAGACTTGCAATGGTCCGTGCCTTGATAACATCTTTTAAAAATTTGTATGCCGTGCTACATTTGTATAGAGGTTTTGGGGTTTTTTAAAAGGATATATTTTCAGTATGAAGGTTATTTTCTTAACTTCTGCACTCCAGAGATTTCTATTTTGTAGTACCTTCAATAGTATATCAACTATATATTACAGAAGCACACTTGAGCAGCTAGGGAACTATTTTGAAACATATGTTCAATATTTAAAGATACAAACAATAGTGCTTTAAAATACTACATAAAATGTCATTTTAAAGGTTATACTGGAAAGTGCAATTTTAAAAATGAGTAAAACCTCTCTATTTCTACTGGCATTAAGGGTTGACGGTGTTACTATGTGTTAGCCATGGCGGTTCTGGTTTTTAAGAGAAATTAAACACACAGTCTCTCCTTAAGCCAGCATTGAAAGACTCATCATAGTTCTTGAGTCCAAACACTGGAAAGGGCTCACCTGCCACCGTTGCCGGGGCTTATTCTCCATGTGCCATTACCATTAAAAATGCCTCCCCGCCTCCATGTGTCACTCTCTCCCCTCCTCCCCAAATCCCTAAACCGACCCAGTGTTTGGCAGGTGTAGGACAAACAAATAACTCTGGTAGAGAGAACAGCTGGTGGGTTTTAAACTACTTCTCCTTGGGTTTTTTGTTTTCTTTTGGGTTTTTTGTTTGTTTGTTTTGGTGGGGAGGTATTATCTTTAATGTTTGCTAGTTTCAATAGAAGAGTAAGCACAAGGTTTTAATAGGTCTTTGTAAGACAGCTTTCCATACCCTATTCAATTAATTGCCCAGTATAAAACTTTAATTCCTGTTCTAATGCTTTTTTCATTTTTGAAGTATGAGTTTGCAGGGGCAAAGAATGTATGTTATTGCAAACAACGCCCCCACAGGCTCTCATCAGCAAAGACCTTTGCTTCTAGTTGCCTTGTCATGTTTCATGCGAAATGTCTGTCCTCAGGGCGTTGGAATCATTATGCTTACAGAATGGGGCGCTTTCTTCTGTCGCTGTGCTCTTGGCAGGTGAGCTGAATTGGGGTGTGCACCTCCAGGAGGAGTAGAGACCTACAGGAATTAAAAGGTAGTTTGTAAATATCTCCTAATGCTTGTTTTTAGTGCTTTTATGTTGTAGAACTTCATGGTATGTAGTTTAATGCAAAATGATGCATTTTATTTCAATGTTATTAAAGAGGTTTGTTTTATTAGGAAATAAATGTATTGTTGCAGTGGTTTGTGCCTGTTTAAAGGCTTCTGTTTAGCAGAGTGAATGTAAAATGCAGTAAAATGTTAAGATTGTCATCTACTTTGTGAAATATATCAACTTGGAATCTTTTTAAAAGGCTCAATCAAGGAAGTGAGGTGTGCAATAAGGTAGCAAACACAGAATTGTGTTTTTATGTCATGTTAGAGATCCATAAAATCTTTCCACTCACTGGTTTTTTTTGTTTGTTTGTTTGTTTTGTTTTGATGATGGAATTCTTACTTGTGGATTATTAATAGGATCATGGCCTTAGCCAATACTTTTTTTTTGTTTTAAATTAAGAGATCCCCAAATGCCTTTTCCCTCCCTCATCTTGGGATGAGAGATGAGCTTTTATATATAAGCAATATTTATTTAACTATTCTATAAAATTATTGAGTGCCTGCTAAGGCCTTTAAACATTCCTAACATTCCCTTCCATCATTCTTAAATGACATAAAGTAATTGTGCAATGTTCCTGATCATGGGCCCAGCAAGCTGCACCCAAACCCAAATCTGTTGGAATGAGTAATTCAACAAAAATGCATTTTGGATCCGATCCTTATCCCTTGACTGCGAAAGAAGGATTGTCACAGAGGTTCACCGGATGAAACTCTGACCCAGTATTCTACTGTACTTTACATGTGCCTGTAAATTATTTGTAAGAAAGAAAGAAAATGGTATTTTAACATGGCAACTTCCAAACTACCTTAGAAACAAATGTTGTGACATAGCCAGCGAAGTGTCAGTGAGCCTGGTATGCGTGGACTTGTCTGTCCCCGTTGTTTCAGAACCATTTCACGTACACTACTGAGGTAAGTTTATAACTTGAAATGTGAACTTTTTTTTTTTTTAGGGTTAAGAACAAACTATATAAATATACAAAAAAAAAAGGTTTTAGAGTTCTGTTTTCAGACATGCTAGTAGTTTAGTTATCTTTAGCTGCTTTGTATTTGAAAATCTTTTATGTAGATTTGCTCCATTTACGGTACATTCATAGGATGTATGTAGAAAATAAAGCTTTCTTCAAAGCAATTTCAAGACCTTATTTTAAATTGTGTTTTCTTTATACCAATTTATTTTTTTTCTAGCAAAATTAACAAAACCCTTTTAGCATAGAAGGGATCAACTAATTCAGTATTTTCATTTGGGGAAATTGGCAAGTTACAGTCATGTGTTTGGCTTGGAATTACCGTTGAAGTTGAGTTGCATGGTTGAATTGTGAATTACCAGCACCCTCAAACCAGCTCCTGCAAACGCGACTCGGCATGTGGGTTGAATGGGACGAGGCAGAGCTTGTCACTGCTCTCGGTGCTGAAGTTGTTTATGATTCCAAAAGCTTCACACTCAGAGCCCTAAATGGAGGCAGCTGGTGTGATGTTAAGTTTTTGGTGGGCTCGTGAATGTGCTCAGGTGACCTTGATGTTGGTCGCTGCGTTTGAAACCAAAGCCGCCTTGTTTCTCCTCTTCACAGCGCACGGCGAGGTCGACAGAACACTTCCCTTTCTCCAGAGCTCATCACTGACTCAGACAGCGTCTATCAGCAAAGTCAGTCAAATGACAGGGGGAAGGTCGTGGGTTGTCAGTGGAGTTACTTCTAAAAATTGTTCCATTTCGCTTTGCCCATGAGTCAGAACTTTACCTTCCTAACTTTGAACCTGGGTTATGACCTCTCAACGTCCATTTCTTGGAATTCTAACTTCCTGTTTCCTCTTAAAATGGACAAGGGCCTTTTTAGAGGCAGAAGAGGCTGGGAAACCTCCCAAAATGACAGATCCTTAGGCAGTGTTTTTAAGGGCAACAAGATCTTCTCATTCCTTCTTACTATAATAGAAAAATACAGATGCCCTTCAAGTTGCTGAATCACATTCAGAGTTAGATTCCTCTCATCAGAAAAAGAACTAAGAGTCATCCAAATCTCGTACTATATCTTTCCCAAGTGCCAGGCTTTGTTGTAGGTGCTACAGCAACAGAATGAACAGATTTTTGCACATACGGCTTACATTATAGTGGGAGAACAGACAAAATGAGGAGGTCAGTGGTACGTCAAGTGAGGATAAATGCTGTCACCATGGGATTCACTAGGCTTCTTGGCTTCTATCATCTCATGGGGCCTCACAAGAACTCAGTGTAGCACAGCCGACAGGTGACTGGCCAAGGTCACAGGGTTGGTAAGAACCAGGACTAAAATCTGCACTCAGACTCCAAGTCCCAGACCCTTCCTAGCAGTACACTGCCCATGGAAATGGGTAACTAGAGTAAAATAAGAAAATCTAATAAGAAAATGAAAGCCTTTCAACGAGTGTAGTTTCTTTTCTGTTGGCTTTTTGTGTGTTTTTATATGTAACTTAGTGGAAAGAATGGCTGAAAATGCCTCCTGTCAGCCTGGAAGACAGCTGCTATAATAAGTAGGGCTGGTAAAAATGTGTACACTGGTAGATTTAGGAGTTCTAACTACAAGGCTGTCCCAAAGACCATGAAGGAGGCTAACAAGCTAGCATAGGAAGTTAACTGTATATCATTCTGATTCTCCACTAGAGTAGATGCCCCATTTTTTATTCCAAAAACATATCATGACAAAATAACAAAGCACTTACCTACTTGAAAGTCAGAACAATTAGAAAAACCTAATGTTTCTTATACATGGCCTCAATTTTTGCATGATTATCTTTATTACAAAGTATTCTGGGCACTTAGCTTTTGTATCAGAGTTGTTTTGGGGTTTTGTTGTTTTTTTGGCTTTTTTAATCATACGAATTCTGACAAAAATGACATTTTGACACCATGACCCTAAGAAAAATACATCTTCAACTTTTTTTTTAGTTTTTCTTTTCATTTTTACATGGAGAAAATCTTGAACTTTTAAAAAAATTACTAAGTTGACACATATGTACTTACTTTATCCTACCTCTTCCTTGACAGACACATTCCCCATTTTTGAACCTCCAAGGTCAAATATAGGATTAGGTTTAAATAATGTTTTGCATTAAAAAAAAGTTTTGCAAAATGTTTTGCTTCAATTCTGAGGTCTAAGCTATCAGACTGTTTATAGCCCTTTTTTCCCCTCCTCCTTTTGTTTATTAGTCTTCCCTATCTAAATGCCCAGTATTCCTGTTTTCTTAGTCCTCATGCTAATAAACCTGGGGAAGAAAATGTGATTACCCAAATACTTACCTCTATGAGCAAGCAAACTGTCAGGTTTACAGTCAGAACCCCTGGGGAGAAACCTTAGCTTTGCTACTTAACCTTGGAAAAGACTCCTCGCTTCTTTGTGCACCAGTTTCTTAATTGGCAAAATAGAGGTAATAATTCTGACCTCATAAGGTTATTGTGAAAATCTGATGAGTTAATGAATCTTTAAAAAGCCTGGTATGTTGTAGGCACTCTTCTAGAAAGTTATTTCCTTTCCCTTCCCCTTTTAAAACTGTAGTGTGAATGCATTCCTCCATATCTATTCCATCAAGCCTTTCCACGTTAAGCCTTTTTATTCTTTTATTCGCCCATTTATTCAGTAAACATTGATGAGGGCCAACTGTGTACTAGTATAATGGGGCACAGGAGAAACAACAGTCAACAAAAGTGACCCTCTGCCTTCTGGAAACTCCCAGGCATGGTGAGAGGGTGTTTCATGGGAGGGCACCCACCCAGGCTCAGGCAGGGAGTTCATGAAGTTTTGGGGATGGCGTGGCTTCTGTACAGATATCTACAGAATGAGTAGGAGTTAGGGCAGATGAGCAGGGAGGAAATAAGGGGAAAGGCCCAGGCCCAGAGGAAAAAACAGTCATGCCCCCGAAAGCAGTTCAAGGTGCCCCAAAGGAGAAAGGACGTGCAGCAGCTAGACCTTTGCTCCATTCAACATCAGATGTGGTTTGTGGCCCTGCATTAACTGGAAAGAGAAGGCTTAGTCCCTAAAACAAGGGAGGTGGGAGCCAACACTCAAGTGGGAAGAACCCTAAATCATTCCTTCTTAGGACTTTCAAAAAATGATGGGGCCCTGCATGTATTTGCCCTGCTGGAGGTAGTGTTCGGTGCAACGCACCCAAGGGCCCGACTGGAAAGCTGCCTCCCTGTTGCCTTCCTGGCCCCAGGGAGTGGCACTGAGTTTGTCCAGGAGAGTTTGCAGGATGCCCACCCTTTCCTTCCTCAGGTCCAGGTTCCAGCCTCTGGAACCTTCTACTCTCCTCTCTGGGGTCAGCAGCTGCATGTGCCTGCCAGGGTGTCCCCACTGTCCCTGGGTAACCCCCCTTGGGGCAGGAATTCGGGCTTCTCAGCAAAGGCGATGGGTCGCAGCTCTCCAGGTGGCTTGAGGGTGGAGAAGGTCCGGAGTAAAATCTTGGAGACGCACTGGCTTCCCCGGGAGGACCATATTTCGTGCCGCTCCGTTCTGCACACTGTACCACAGACGGCAGCAACGCTCAAACCTGCGTGTGCAAGAAATATGATCTTTGCCGAGCGAATTTTTAGCCACCCTTATTTCTTGGCTTGCTCTACTTTGTTTGTCAAAAAATCTTCATTAATGATTAACCAACTATGAGGCTTAAATAGGCCTTAGTCATTCTGAAGCAGGCAAGACACGTCACCAAAACCCAGTTATTTCTGAGATGACCTTGCTGGGCTGCTGGGTCAAACGCTGGAGCTTATGACATTGTCATAACATCAGGCCAAGCTGGTGCCATTTTGCTGGGATTTTTCCTCTCCTTTTTCAGGACCTTTCTTCCAAACTAGTAGCACCCTGGGATGGTATTGCTTCCAACAGCCTCACGGTCCTTACCACCCCGACTTAAATACAGCCATTTGACACCTTCTCAGTCTTCTATAAAGTACTAGGTGGACTCAGCTAATCTCCCCTTTTCAAATAAGATGCTTCCCCTAAGAAGTGAAATTCTGGAAATGCAACTGATTCTAAATGTGCTCTAGCATTTATAGAGGGACCCTTTCAGTATAAGAAACAACAGCAAAAATAATCTAGTTGGCAGAATTTCCCAATCGTTAAGTGCAAATATCCAAACCATTGAGCACTCAGTGAAGGCTGCTTTCAGTGAGCATTTCTTTTTCTTGTTCTTCATTTTCCTTATGTTTGAGAATGATGTTACAGTCTTAGATATAATACGAGATAAAATCGAGTAATGGCTGGCTTACTATATGCCAATTGAATACTCACTATACATCAAGTAGTTTACAGGGATGTCTTAAAAATTTCTTAATAAACGATAACATAGATACAGAATAGTGCACACACCACACACAGCGTGACGAGCATTTGCAAACCGGGCACAGCCACGTGCCCGGCGTCCAGGTGAGGAAAGGGACCAGTCCTGCAGAGGCCTCCCGTGGTTCTTCCCAGGGACCGCCTCATCAAGATAAACTGCCATCCTGACTTCTAACAGCACTGGTAGAAGTTTTGGGGTCATTTTTTCATACATGAGATAACTATTACTATCCCCACGTTTTACAGATGAAAAGCAAGGAGGCAAAAAGAGGTTGAGTGACTTTCCCTGGTCACATAGCTGGTGAGCGAGGGGAGGAGGCTGGTTCCGAACTGGGCTCAGCTCACTGCAGAGCTGCGCTGGTGCTGAGAGAGATTATAATTCACACATTTTGTAAGGACTTCAAGTCATTTGTTTGTTCTAGAAATTATACTGATCTCCCAACAGAGTCACTTCATCATGGAGGTCCCTGGAGCAAATGGAAAGGAAGGACAAAAGGTCACACGCAGAGCATGGGATACAAACCTTTCTGGAGTCTCCAGGTCCGTAGGATTACCTTTCTACATTTATTTTTCCTGCTGCCTCCAACTCTCCCGCACTCCACCTGCCTTTTATCAGACCTGCCCTCAGGAAGGGCAGGGAGAAACCAGTTTCGCCCTGAGGTGAGTTATGTGTTTTTCACTAAGCACAAATGTCTTGTGCAATAAACTGAGGAATAAAGCCCCAATTTTGAAACGCAAGGCCATAGTCAGTCAAATGAAGAGAATGGCTCCAGGGGTCAGGAGGCCCTTGGCCCAACGCTGGCCGCGAAGGCAGCCCAGTCTGGGGCGGCGGCCTAAGA